GCCACCATCTCTTGTACATGTGATTAACCAGGAGATGGCGTGCTCTTGATATATTTTAATATTCTAGAATCTCATTGCCATGTGTGACAAATGCAAGCTATTCAAACGACTCTCCGAAAGTGTACAGAAAATTGAACCGTCTTGCATGATGAATATCGATTGCGTGCTGATATTTCAAAATTGTTTCGCTGCTGTTGGTCAGGATGTTCTTTTTTAAGGAGACACCTGCTGATGCTAGACTACATGAAGCTGTTGCTGATGCCATATTATCTGGCGTTGCCCTTGCAATGAACGAGAGGCCGTTAATCACGCCAAATGCGTGTTTCATTGACATATTGAAGCAGGATTGTGGGCGTCATATGGTTAGCAGAACAAAGGAAGGAACATGTGCAAAATAATGATTCTCAGAAGTCATAATCATTATCTACCGCCATTTGCACATCGTCTTGCTATCATATGCGCCTAAATCGGGTGAATCCCCTACTTTTATCGAATTATGCTAAATAAAGAACCGCTATTAATGCAAAATCGTATTTAAAGGATCGTTTAAGTCATAGTGGATCATTTGGGCGTTAATGGCAGCTGAAGTGTTTCGAAAATAACCTTAACTATCATTCGCAAACCCTGCCATCTATACCTAGCTGTCCTTTCGTGAGGAATTCATCACTGATCCAAAGTTTGCCAAGATACGGTGTATGTCGTGCAGCGGAGACCTAACCTAACCTTGAGGAAAAGAGAAGTTTCCCAGTGTACGCACAGAGTTCTGTTCTGACTGCACAAAGTTGAAGTGCGGTCCAACCGCGAGGATTAAAGTGAGTTCGGCGAGGTGATGCGATTCGACTTTACGAGCAAAGTCGCATAAAAGAAAGCGATGATCAAAGATATTCGTTCAACTTTCAGTCGAGAGTTTTTGGAACGTAAATTGATCGCCTTGATCCCCGCTGCCTACGAAAAAAGCAAAAAGGTATTTGCATTGTGCCACGATGTACAATGGGTCTGCTGAAGCTTCGCTGTGCGTGAATGTAAGCGCAGGACGACGTCGAATGCTACGCCTGTTGTCATTTTCGTTCCATTCTTTCGACCTGAACGAAGAATAAAGAACAGCGAAGCGCAAGCTTTGAGTCTGCGGCTATGGCAGCCGGCTAGCAACGGCTGCTGACGTTTAAAGCCATCAAAGATTCTTGCCACTTCTTGGACCTTCATGCAATGCAAGATCATTTTCAAACTTCGTAGCACAAACTTTTTCGCTCGCACGTTTACATGAGAATGTTCTAGAAAAATATATCCTTCGAAGTTTCATTTATCACGGGCGTAAGGGTGTTAGGCAACGGGCAGTGACATATATAAAATCATATTTAAGATATTCCGTTTCTGTAAAGCGTGATGCAGTCGGCAGAACCTCATCAGACCAGAGGATGAATGAAATGGCTAATGAAGTACGTTGCATATCTGAAAGCTTGGTATGATCACTCATTAAAACTAGACAATGATTGTTGTTGTTTACAGAGGTTTTTCCAGCAACTCGACAGATTGTCGTCATTTATCCGTTTTACAGCACAAAGAAAACATAGCTCGCATTCCCAGCATCAGTTACGCTGATGCCATTACACATAAACGGTTTCTTCTGTGCACACGTGGAATAGGCGGTAGTAAAATACGGCCGTCCGGCCCCTTCTTCAAGCATTCAACCTTTTCCAATGATGAAAAAATAGATGCTAATCACCAAAGCCTGCGATTTGCCTTTATTAACCCGCGCCTCGTCGAAACGTTTCTTCAGTCTACGTTTAGCTGACGAAAACTCTTGCCTCTTCTCAAACTCACAGCGAGGGTAGGTGAACCGTTTCATATGAAATTTCAAAATGCTTGAAAGAAAATATTCGACATATGATTCAATGCGATCAGATACGCTGCGAAAGATTCATGTAACGGTTAATGAACAGTGGAGGATAGCGGAAGTGGGAAGTTACGCATAGGTGACCAGGAGGTTAACATTTAGTGCGACCAGAAGACAGAAATCTCACATAGAAGTAACGCAGGTTGGCACGCTTTCAAATTTGTTAAGGACTTCCAATTGGGCGACACACAGAGAAAACGATCCCATCTCTTTAATTCAATTATATTGTCGGTGGCGTTGTATGGATGATGTAGAAGAGGGAAGTCACCTAACCGGTACTGTGAGACTCATGGAAAGGATAACGTTCGAAATTTCCCTCAGTGAACATATTCCAACAACAGATATTAGACAACAAACCTGAATAAAGCCAATGGGGAAAGTAGGGAGAGCAAAATGTGATGAGCTGGATACGTAGCTCGGCTTATTGATCATCTATGAGTGAGCAGCCACTATCGTCTAGTGGTACTCGCGAGGTCGCTAAAGACTGTTGGGATAACCTTCTAAAGTTTGGAACAATTCTCTCTTGCTTCCAAGGATAATTTCGGCATAGGTTGGCACCAATTACCGGCGAAGATCGGAGGACTTTTTCTGAGCGCGCAATCTATGTGACTGCTGAATACTGGTCGATTAAAGAAAGAAATAATGACTTTAGACTCTGCCCTCAATGTGCGTTTAACCTGATGCGATAGTGACTATGGTTGTTCATACTAAAAAGCCTAGATAGTCAATCGATCGATGTCTTGTGGGACAGAAAATATTGCGTATCATATTAAAGCATAGAAAAGCTAATTGAAAACAAAATAAAACAAGGCATGTTCTGCGGTAGCTACCACGAATAAGAGTTTACAATATCGTTGGTAAATGTCGCATTTAAAATATTGATACCGGATTTGCACCAGGGAAGCATACCCTGTGAAGAAAAATGGTTTT